CTGATTTTAATATCTGGTGAGACAGAGAGCTGCACGGACAGACAGGTCACATATGATTTTAATACTCGGATAGATGGATGAACACATCGATTGATAGATGAAACGATGGATGCATGCACTCAGACATGCATTACCGTTTATAGTATATACATCTCTCACACTCCTGCACTCTGTAAGTACTGTCTACAAAGTCAGTTCCACTGTAGCATGCATTAACTATTTCACTAAAATAAATACATGTAACCATGACTAATAGGGCCATGTCTCCTGAATGTTAGCCCCTACTTTACGCAAACCTCTTCTTTATGCAGCAAGATGAAAAGATACATTTACAAAGGGTCTCAGGGAAAGTATAGGTCTTTGTCTGCCCTCAGACACATATACCTAGCTCCTCTCTATCCTCTCAAAAAAGCATCCAGTGCTGATCAGAAATCAAGTGTTAGTGGATTCTTAATTTATTTTTTTTTTTTTGAGATTCTACTCAACAAAATATGAAGAGTAGAGTATTAGCCATCATCCTGGACTTGATGAGCTGAAGGTTTTTGCTGGGTGAGTTTGCATTCTCCACTGTGATTACTGTTTTGTTTTCCATTGATCCTCCTGTGTTAATAAAACAGTTTGGAGTGAACAAAAACTTGCTTCTTGTTCTAGTAAGAAATGTGCTGAGTACATACCATATCATTGACATAAAATTTTTTCAAATAATACTGCTTTCTAGACAGACTGTATTAATTGCATCAAGATTTTTACAGCAGGGTGGTCTAACTAGCTCTCCTTATTGACTGACTCCATTTTAAAACCAACACAATGAATACAGTGCTATAATTGAAGGAGGAAAAAGTATTCTTTTTAAACCTATTATTTACTTACAGGTACTTCTTTTATCTTTACTGTCACTTTAAGATTTGTTAAGAAAACACCAGACTTGTTAAATGGTGCTGTAAGTAGAATTTCAGTAGCCAAGTAAATTGATATTAACTTTACAAGATGACTGCATGATTTTCAAAACATCCTAATGACTAATAGAGTTGATTCCTTGAAATAACAGGAGCTTGTTCCTCTCTTCTGTGCTACAGCCCCATGCATTCCTCTGTTTTAGACCTTAAACTTCACATCCATGTCCATTAATCACTGCTGCCCATGCCTACTTGCTGTTTTTATATATGCAACTAAGTATCGTAATTGCTTTCCACCTTCTTCCATCAACCTACATGTGGGAAGTAAGCAGTTTCACTGGTTAGCTGAACATATGTGTATTGGACAGATTTAATTATCTTTTCAGAGGTATATAAAACCCTCACTCATGGGCCCAGATCCAAAGATCTTGGATCAGGTATATATCTGAATTGCGGCATAGAGGATAAATTATTATCTGTGCCATTACAGTCCCTATTGTCTTATGCTGATTAGAATTCCATTTGGGGGGCTTCTGCATTTGTAGTATCTTCAATGCAGGGACTTCTTTCTTTGGAGAGCACACTGTAAAGTGCCATGCACTTCTGCGCTGAGATTTTCAAAGCTCATTTCTCGTTAACTTTAATGGGGAACGGGCATCCAAATCTCTTAGGCAGCTTTGACAATCTAAGCCTTAATGTACAATATTAATAAATCAGCATCATAAAAAAGAGCCTTATGAAGATATATTGTGAAAAAATAGCCCCACAAAAAGCATTGCAATGTATACGTGCCTGCATACGAGCATATACTTTTCTTTACATAATTACATCTCTCAACAATCATTTGCATGCCTCTGTTATGCAAAAAAAAACTGTGTGTGTTTTACAGTTACTCTGAGCAGTTGCAATTCATTGAAATTAAATAAAAAGCAGGCTCAAAAAAGCACCCTAATCTGGCAAGGGGTAAAGCAAAATGAATGCTCTGCCCATTTATATTTTAGTTCCAAGCTACACAACCCTGTGAATTTCATGACTCTCTTCCAACTTCTAATTAAATAGGCACTAAAAACATTTAAACGGGAGAACCCAATTCAACAGACAGAAGCCTCTGAGACAAAAAAAAAAAAATAATAAAGAGACTGAGAGATATCGCTCCAGTGGTAGATATTTTTTGTTTGTTTTTTAATCACAGGGAAAAACACACACCTTTACTAGCAAATTCTTCATCCTGTGGTGCCCTGAACAAAAACGACTGAACAAAGATAAAAGGGACCAGGACCAGCACCAGCCAAGTGGACTTCCCAGCATCATTTACTGTGATAGAAATTACCACCAGCACGAATTCTAAAAATCACAAACAGGTCTGGACGGAGCAGCACGACTTCCCCTGTCCATGACTGAACGTTACTCAGCATTCCAGGCAATTGTTCTCTTGGTTCGAGATTTCCAAATGCAGTTTCCTCACACATGTACCTCAAATCCCACTGGCAGCCAGAAGTTTAGATTCTCCATGACAAAACTGCTGGGACTCTTGAGGGTCTGATTTGTGAGTGCCCAGCAGAGATTTGGGAGTACCTGCAACTTCAAGCCTTCAGAGTCACAGCCTGCTTGAGAACTGCACGGAAAAACTCCAGGTCCTGACTTAAATGAATGCTGAAAAACAGGAAAGGTAAGAAATGATGAAGGAGGAGGAGAGGCAGGAACTGATGATGGGTTTTGTTCAAAGAAGGAAACAATTCCTCAGAAGCAAGAACAGGGCTGACAGAATAAAAGGCTAATCAAGTCAGAAAGACAAGCAGATCTCTAAAGCTGGAGCAAGTGACTGTTGTAAATGTCTGTATTAAAAAAAGAGGGCACAATGCAGGGATCATCACTAGATTATTAGTCGGAACAAAGAACTCACTTTTCTTTCATTTCCACAAAACCTTCTGGGAGCTAGAAAGATCCCATAACCCTTGCCACAGAGCTTAAACCATGTGCAGTCTCATATACAGTGATTACTATGGGAGCTAAGAAAGGGTTAAGTAGATATAATCTCCTTTTTCAAGGGAAGAAAATGTTTCTTCCAAGCAGACCTTGACCAACTACTGTCATAAACATGTAGCATGCTCTTTGATATAACCTATTCTCTAAGTGCCACAGACTGCAGCAGTAATTACAGGAAGCCATGATAACAGGTCTCTCTCTCCACAGAGCTGGCATCACTCTCCCACCAAACAGGCAATTCTGAAAACTCACAGTGCACAAATCCACAGCGAGAACTCAAAGTACGCAAAGTACAAAAGCCTTGCCTTCCCATGTTCTTTAATAAGTTATTCCTTCCTTCCTTTTCTATTTTTAGTTGTACTTGCTTCCCTCCCCACAAGCTGCTGGCATCAGAAGCAACAGGGAACCAGGGCATCCAGTTCACTGTTACAACTACCTGCCTACTAAAAGCACCTGTGTGCATACTGCATCAGTGAAGACAGAGAACAGCAAAATATCAGATCAGTTCCAGTTTGGTTTACTGGTGGCACAGAGGAAGGAACTGGGGAGGTACAGCAGCTATCTTACTTTCTGATCCAGCACTCACTTTTGGAAGAGCCCATCTCTGCACCTGTCTCAGGCAAGCTGGACAATTTGCTGAGGCTGATGAAGCATAGCCTTATTAAAACAGCATCCCCACACACTTAATATGGCAGCTTGAATTAGGAAATCTAACCAAATCCCATGGATGCACTGACTGCACCACATCACATAGCGCATTGTTGCAAGCCCACTCCTGCATCCTGGCACAAGTGGCAGGGTGCAGGCCGAGCCTCTCCCAGGAGGCACAGGAGCCTTCCTCACATGCCTTGAGCTTTACCCACGGTCGAAACAGGATCCTGCAGCATGCTCTCAGACTCCTCCTGAGAATATTCCTCTTTCAGGACCAAGGGTTTCCAAGATGCAAATTTAAATTTCTTGCTTTTGTCTTGCTCTATTACAATGAGAGATGCACAAGGACATTTTCATAAAATACAGCGTACTGCAGCCATGTGGTACCACTGCCTGTGAAAGGAACAGCTGAGTGCAGCAAAGTTTTGCCAGCTTCAGGGGAGCATGAGGAGCAATTTCCCAAAGGCTTTTCTCCTGACAGTTGTTGCTGTCTGTCTAAATCCTCTGGTCCTTATGCATCAGTTATCAGCATCGTTCTGGGAACTCCCTATTAAAACTCCACACATGTTAGTATGAGTGAGGGCTGCAGGGTTTGGCCCACCACAGTGAGACTCCACAAACACTTGTGGATTTTGCCACGGCTGTATTTTCCTTTAAGCCCTCCCCGTTTTCACCTCTCCAGCCCGCAGCTCACCATAGACCCAATCTTGCAACTGAGCCACACTCTGAAACACCCACTGATTTCAAAGAGATTGCTGGGTCTGAAATGATGGGGTCTGGTGACAATATGTCCGTGTCCTCTTTGGCTAGCTCGGTACACCCTCGTTTCCACATCACTTTACCCTCCTTGCAGTGACAAAAGTCAGGCATCCAAAAGGAATAAAAGGAAAGAAAAGCTGACAGGGGAGAGGCAAGGGATCCATGGCAAGTTACCAAGAAGCGTTTTCTCAAAGCAGGGGAGACAATGGCATGGAGCACATACATCCTGCGTGCACATGGATGCAGAGGAGAGCTTTTAATACAAATGGTTAGGGAGGAAGGAAAAAAAAAAGGAGGAAAAAAAAAAACAAACCACAAACCAGCCTCAGATGTTAAATGTTATCCAATTAAGCTTTAAATAAACAGCCCAGAGAGATGAAATCTTGATACTGGGGTATCACGTTCTGTGAGGAGTCTCAAACATTTGTTCACAATGTGGCACAAACAGCCCAGCAGTGGCCACTGGTAACAGCTGAAGGTAGGCAGGCAGGAGGGGAGGGATGCGGAAATGGAAGGAGTTGCACACCGTTTCCCACTCCCCATCCTCCACCAGGATGGAGGGGGAAGAAGGAAGGGAGAGGGGGTGGTTAAAGACATTTTTTTCTGCCTTCCCCACATGACCCAGCGAAGGCAGCTCTCCCACAGCAAAGACATAACTTGGCAGCACTACTGACCTTCAGATAGCAACAAAAAAAATGTTTCTATTACCTGACAACTGACAATGACATCCAAATGTGCCTGACGTCTCAGTCTGAATCTCAGTCTGAGTCCCGCCAACTGAGACTGCACGTGCACCACAGCAGGGCAGGCTAAGGCAGGGCGGGAGGGAGGCCAGTGCGCGGAGAGGTGACGTGATCACGGATGTGTGAGGGTGGGAGGAGGCAGCTATGGGAGCCCCCGGCAGGTTTGCAGGCCTGGACGGCCCTGGAGAAAAAACAATAGAAAAAACTGTCAGTCGGATCTAAGTCTGAAGGGACACAGGAGGAATCATCAGGGGAAACAGGCGAGGTGGGGGCAGGCTGCCTAACACGCGACACACTTGGTCTGAGCCTCTCTCTGGGTCCGGCTGAGGCTGGCAGGCTCACACCAGGTGGGGGAAGAGCAAGAAAAGACCTCAGGGACCTGCAAACCAGAGCTGGGGGCCTGTGGGGGGCACAGAATGGGGAAAAATGGTGATGGAAGGGGGTGACTGGCCGTGGCATGGAGCAGAGACAGAGATAGTGGACATCACCACCAGCACTTGCTCAGGAAGTGAATCAAAAGGGGTATTATTGTTTATATGTCTGTGTTAATGCATTGAGCCGACACAAAACTGAGCAGGCATTCTGCCGAGCCACTATTGAAGCAGGCTCCATGCACCAGCCTGGACAAAATGCGGTGACTTCGAGCTCAAATGGCTTCAGCGAGATGCCAGGAGCTGAGCTCCCAGAAGGAAGCATTGGCGGCTGCTGTGCTGCTTGAGCTGCGGCCAGTTGTGCATTTTGCATGCCCTGACTATGCAGGCTGCTTCCCTATTGAGCCTGTGAAGGAGGGAGCAACCTCGCTCCTGGTAGCTAAAAGATGATACTGTAACCGCCAACCATATCATTTCTTTTTAACCCCTCTAGGAAACACCTGCCATTTATAAGCTGTACTTAAAAGAGTTTTCTCCTGCTCCTGGCACTAGTCCAAACTGAGCTCCACAGCTTTGAAAACCTAAGACATAAGTCTTAAATATCGATATACACCTGCACAAATACAGATACGCACAAACAAATACACACACAGAATCAGGTAGGAGTCACAGTTTTGGCTGGTGCAACATAGCAGAGTTTAAAGAGAAGTCAAGCAAACAGCATCACTTTACATCCACCAAGAATCCCACCCCCTTCATCTAAAACTATGCCTGGCACTTAATTACTAAATAAAGGGTAGCTACTCATCAAGGGCAGCTCCTAAAAGAAGATATGAGGTGGAGCGGTCACCATTAAAAAGGTGGCATTTGCCAATAGTTACCACACAGTGGTAGATCAGAAACCACAGTTTCCCCCTGTATTTAGATGAGGAAATATACGTGTTACTTGGGGGTTATCTTCTGGCAAATGTTCTCTTTTTTTTAAATGGTGGCGAATCTGCCTGTGTGTGCATGTGCGCCGTGCAGATACATGCAAACAACGTGGCAGAAAGAAGAAATACCTCTCTGCATTCCCTCCAACTCTAGAAAAAATTTCTAAAGGAGGTTACACTGTGGCTGCAAGAACAAATATTTATCCGTGTTCCCTCCAACCCTAAAAAAGCAACATTTTCTAAGGGAGCCTCTCCACCTAGAGAGTCCTGATTCAGAAACTAGGCATGCATGTTGATCTGACAGCTACACATGAGGCAAAAGGGGATACTTCATCCTTGGCACAACATCCACTGATACAGTCTGCAAGGACTGCATTTGATTTTGTCGTTTATCTTAAATGGCTAAGAGACCACCAGTGCAAAACATTTGTGTGAAGCTTTTGCCAAAACCACAAGTGAAGAGTCTAAATTCCCTGTGTAAATACTTGAGCTTCAAGCATCAAGGATAAAATTTGTGCTCTTTTGTGAGGACTGGTTTTAAATAGAAGCCATCTATGTGGCTCATGGGATGAGGAAGGTTTTTTTTTCATTCTGGGGGCTCAGTTGCTTGGCTTTCATAACTGTTTGATCTCACTGAAAGTACTACACAAGCAGGTAATGATAGCTGCTATCCAGATTGTACCTACGTTACATTCTAGGCAGGAGTGTGTGCTGGGCATCTGAAAACTGATATCAGACATGGATTTCTATGTGCCTATGAACCACTCTACTGCCACTGTAACACATCTGAATAACAAGGTTGTGGGGTTTTTTCATGGAACAAGCAAAAAGTAGCAATGATTCCCTCCAATGACCTAACAATTGTATCCTATGTTCCTACAATTACAAAAAAAAAATAGGTTTAGCATAGGCTATGTTGGGCTGCCTGGATATTCATCCTCACTGGGAAAGTCGAGAGCTTGAAATCAGGACTTAGAGTAGGACCACAGGGCAACTACAACTCAGACATGCCTGCAGCTGCCCTATGACTAAGGGCACACATCCTGCAGTCGTTCAGCCCCCTGCACATCATGGTGCCAGACTACAGGTTTTGAAGGAAATCGTCACAAATTTCCTTCAAACACAGACATAGAGGTACTATATGAAGCCCATCAAGTGCACCATCAACCACAACTGCATTGAGTTTTAACATGGTGGCGCATTGGCCCTAGCATGCAACATTACCCTGAGAACAAGAGCCTCTCTCTTCTCTAGTCCTGGTGAGTCCCACCTATCCATTGGCAATGAATTTGTCAGAATCTGCACAGCCCTGAGGCATTCAAGAAGATGATAAGAGCTCACGAAATGAGTATAGGGAGCACCCCCACTCTTGTTCAATACATCTCCTCTAGTGTGTAATGGGAGCTAAGGTTTCAAATAGGAGGTTTCTAACCATCTGGGCAAAGGAATCCTGTAAGAGCCTTCCAATAGAGGCACTGGGGGCAAGCCAGCAATCCGCTTTAATAAGGTACCTAACAAATTTATGTGAAGGAATATGTGAACCAGTTGCTAGTCAACTGGAACATGTTAGTCAGGTCTTTTTGACCTGAGTCATGGAACTAAACATGTTACTCACATCTTTTTCTGTCCTTTGATGTATATATGAGGAAATTTAAAAGGTGCTAACCTAGTGTCAGAAAGGAAAGAGTTTGTAAGGAAGAAGAAGAACGGGCAAAGAAAGACTCTGGCAGATGTTCAGGGTGTCCCATCAAAACTCCTGGGTCCAGCACTGAGAGACAAAGACCACAGCGCTGCCAGACCAGGAGGCTGAGCCTGCCCTGCAAGCAAAGTCAAATCAGGTGATTCCTCCTCATCTTTGTTGCCACTTTAGGGTTTGCTTCTTTGCTTCACAAATCAGGACGGTCCTATAGAATGAGATCTAGTAGCAAATCATGGAAGGGGGAAATCGTAACTACTGGACCTGAGGAAAGGCATGGCAAAAAGGAACTCTCTACCATTAGGTACATGGCACCTCTTCATTGCTACGGAAAGAATAACAGTGGTGCTCAGAAATGCTCAGCTTGTGTTCACTAGGAATATGCCCATGTTTTACTTCTCCAGCTCCTCTTCTGCAGGATTTTTCCCCATAAAGGCTCTATTTTAAGCTGAAAACAAAGACAGGGACTCTACTGTTGATGAACAAACACAAAATGGACAAAGATTAAAAGATAAATAGACATAAGCAGATAGACAGACAGTATCCTGAGGCGGTGCTCAGTTTTTTGCTCAACCAGCTGAGGGAGGGGAGCCAGTCTCTGGAATACTACAGCCAATCAACCACATCATGTTGCACATTGGTTTCAAAAAGAAAACACTCCTGCAAGCCCCTGACTGCCACAAAGGGCAAAGCCACAGCTGGCACTAGGGGAAAGCAGACCACAAGAACGGAGGTGCAATCTTAGAGCAAATATTCAATCTGGATGGGGTGAGCAGGCATGAACGGGCACACATGTACAGTTCTGTCAGTTGGACATTGCTGACAAAGATGTGTGGGGCTCAATTTTCCTCTTTGGTCTGCTCTGGGAAATCACTCACCTGCACTGCAGATCTGAATTACATATTCTGCATTCATTCTGCAGGAATACGACGGGGAGCTTTGCACACAGCATAAGTGTGAAACATGCACAGGGACTGTCACCGTGTAAATAAAAGATCTGCATTGCTGATGGTGAAGGAGGATTTTGTCCTTACACTTTAAGAGGCTAGTGCCTGTACATGGCAGTAGCTCCCAAGTTATGTTGATTCCTGGACACAACTAACAGTAATATTTTTGTTCTCTTCTGTTTTTAAACTTGCAAAGAAGAAAATAAGGTAAATTGGACATGACCCCAGAAGATGGAAATGAGCATAAGAGCCTAGATGAACATGACAAAAGCCACAATCAAGGTATAAAATTAATTCTTTTGTGTGTCTCTCCCCGAGCCTGGCCATATGATATGGTATACGTAAAACACTACGCTACCCTGGCACATCTGCAGAAAAGTCCTTGAGCAAAGCACAAATATGGAGCTACAAGCAGTATTCACAATGTCCCACCTCAGCATGGTATAGACCAGGGGACTTGATCTTAATTTAAGAGATCTTGCTTTATGTCTCATGTCACATGTAAATGCAGCCACATGTAGCTGTGTAGCTGATGTGTCCCTTGGGGTGTTGTAGTCTTGCCTGTGTGGGTGCCTAAGGTGTGTATCTGTATACAAGGCAGACAGGCAGGCACAGAGGCAGACATGTAAGTCACTTAACAGGGCATGAACCAAGTTTTTCTTTGTCTCTCTCTGTGCCTGTCTGGTGATGAAAAATCAGTCAATAGCTGGTTAGAGACTAAAGATCAGCTCCATTATTAAAAAGCTCTCAATAAAAAGAAAAACATCTGTTCAAACAGTGTATGGCTACAAATGCAGAGTGCATGCTGGAGCCTCATCGCTGCCCTGTGCCCAGCATGTTCAGGGACAGTACTGCAGAGGTTTTGAGATGGTTTTTATATATACTATTGCAGCAGCTTTGAAGAGGCACATCCAAACTGAAAGACAGATCTATTCACTAACCTTTACAACAGATTTTTCTTTCAAGCTTTTCCTGAAACAAGACATCTCATATGCATTGCACTCTCTCATACAGACTGCTCCCACCTGATATTATCTTTCTACCATGCCTTTCTATACAGACACCAACAGGGTTGACGAAGCAGACATGCACAAGCACACACATGTACACACACACAGAGGATACATAGACACAGATGCACAAACATTTCCAACAGCAACTAGAAGAGTAATGCATGCACATCCTGCAAGTGGCAGACACAGGCAACATTCCCCAGGAAAGGCAGAACAACTCAGGGGTACAGGCAGACATGCTATTATACACACTCAGGCACAGAGTCCAGTGCTCAGCCAGACACACCAGCACACCAGCATTTACCTCTTCCCCCAGCACACACATAGCAGTTTTGGAGCAGTTCCCCTCCACCGACTTATGATGCCAAGACAAAACTTTGCTAGAGCTAGAAATGGAAAGGCTGCACTGAGGAGGGAAGAAGAAAGGCAGGGAAGGGATTTCTTGTTATATTTTGCTCAGGGATTTTATTTATATTTATTTTTTTTTTTTGGCAGACAAGGATTCCCTCTGAATTGATACATTTCTTTCTCCCATGAATTTGGAATGATAGTGCATAAATGACTCATAGATCAAGAACAGCAACGTGGTGAGCAAGAAGGAGAAAGAGTGCAAGTGAGGGGCACTGGCACAGAAATTTGACAGTACCCCAACTCCCCCCCTTCCTCCCCCCATGCCAAGACATTAATTCTCACAAGTCGGAGAAAATTACTATGCATGAATGCAAAAAGCATGATCAGGAGTAATTAACATGGCTTCATATGCAAATTTTATTAATGCAGAAGTACAAAGTCATTATGCAAATGAAACTTACGTCAACTCTCTTGACAAATATTCATCTCTAAAGCTCAAGTTTCTCCCTTCTAATTTTTTTTTTTTACTATTTTTTTGGTGCAAAACCAAAAAAAAATTTAAAAAAGTGACAAGGACTGTTTGACAAGTTTGCAAAGTTGTTTTTCAACCAGAGAAATTTATTCTTGCATTGTTGATATTTTTTTTGTTGTTGTTCTTGGCAGGTACACGACAGCTCATGGAGGAGAGCGGGAGGATGGGGGACGCGGGCTACCAGCAGCAGGCAGCCAATCAAAACGCCAGCGGCTGTAATGAGCGCGATTGATGACTGTTTGGCTTTACTGCAGGGTAATGAACTAGAATCCAGTCTGAGGAGGAAAAAAATATGAATATTCATGAAGCTGTGCTCCTGCCTTTGATGATTAAAGAAATTTTTAATATTCAAATAAGCGCTTGCCAAGTGATTAACAAAGAACAAGCACGCAGGAATATGGAAATGGAGCTGTGGAAGATTTGGGAGTCACAGTCTGTGCAGAAAAGACAGCACAAAATTTCATAAACAAGATAGGCAGATAACCCAATTCAAATCTGAGCTAATAAAGGGTGGGAAAAATCCCCTTCTTTTTCATCAGTTTGGATATTGTATCAGTCACTTTGTTTTAGAGTGCGAAGGAGAATAAAAGCAACTGATGCAATGAGACAGCGGGGGAAAATCCTAACCCTGAGAAATGCAATCCAGCAATTACAAAGTAAGAATTCTGGGTGAGAAACCGATCAGAAAATGATGGCTAAGTCTGCTATCTGCTGTGGGCTATTGCTTTACAAAAGCAGAAGCCTGCCCGATGCTGAGAGCCCACCGACTACTGAGAGCTGCCAACCTGTCGTACACAAGAGGCAGGAGTCAAAAGTATCCTGAAATAACCGAGACCAGTCCTTGCTGCTAAATACGCATCCTCAGCTAGAAGGTGCACCACGGGGCTTGACTACCGCCCGGGAGAGAAGGAAGGTAGTGCAACAGAAAAAAGAAATCTTATTGCCAGGTAGGGAAAATTTTAAAGACTGAAAAAAAGGTGAAAAGGAAGGTGCAAGCAGGAAGGTCTCAGCTGCCCACCCTGGTAATCAGTTGGTAAGAAATATGTTTTCCATGCCAGAGCCAGAAAGGTCCTCCACCCCCCACAGAATTCTGAACAAGGATACAAAAAATCCAGCCACGTTACAAAATGTCTGGTAAGTTCAGGCTCTCACAGTTTAACAGCTTCACTAAGGATTCACACTGAAACACATAACAACAATATTAGCTGCTAAAATGACCTTGCAGTTAAAATACATCTAATTAGCAGCCAGCAACATCCCCGAGTTTTGCAGTTTTGTCTTTTTTCAAAAAACAGTTAAATTCAGGGCTGTGTTATACCAGAATGAAACATGGTTGAGCTCCTGTAACTCAAAAGCCAGAGTGAGGGTATCTTCAAACTCTCAGGGCACTGGAAAACCAACTCACCTTTGTTATTAGATCCTGGGGTTTCATAGGCCTGTTTGGCTGTTCGGGAGATCTTTAAAACCACTGGTTAATAATTTCCTATTTTAAAATCTCAAGAAAGCATAGGCTAGGTACCATTTAATACTTAGCTGGTGTTTTCAGAATGTAACATTTCAACTCTACTTAGGAAAAAATAAAAAAGAAAGAAAGAAAAAGAAAAAAAAAAAAGAATAACAGCATGAGGACAATGCTACAAAATGCACAAAACGGCCATGACTGGAACCTTCAGAGCTGCCGTGAAAACACATCATGGTGCTAATGGGATTTTTCTCCCTATACCTGCTCCATTTTTGGAGACACAAAAATTTCACTATTGATGTATCACAGGAAAGAAAAGGAGGAGAAAAAAAAAAAAAAAAAAAGAAGGGGAAGGAAGGAAGGAAGGAAGGAGAGGAAAGAAAAGAGAAAGGAACTCCTCAAGGTAAGTAGAGATAAGGTTAAACACCGTGCAGGGGTATTGCTGGGAGCCTTCCCTCTGAATAATGCCAAGACCTTTCGAAGGTGCCTGTTGTCTCTAGGTGTGGGTGGGTGAAGTGTGAGATTACATAACCCACACGCGGCTGTGCACAACCATGCTGGTGAAACCGCTTGACTGTGAAACTCTCAGGGCTCCATTTCCTGGGCTGCTCATAGCTCATGTCAGAACCCAGAACACCGCAAATGTTATTCTTTGTCTACGAGATTCCTTGGTTTTATTTTAATCAATGCATTTTCTCTTTTAATGATAGAGGAGCAACCACCAGCTCATACAGTTGGCTGCTTTGAAGCCCTTCTTAAATGGCAGTTGAGTTCTACCATATAAATATGAACACTTAATATTTATGCCGCATTTTCTTCCTTTCTTTAAAAGCACCCCATTTACATATTTCTGGAGAATAATGATACTTCAGCAGGGCAGGTGAACACACATTTCTGCATATGGAGTCAATAGGAAAAAGTATTAGTGTCAATAGTGTAAAAATCAGCCCCTAAATTTAAGTGGCTTGAATTGAGCATGCAGCTGTGGTTGCCTGTCAGTAGTTAGATGCTGTAATAATAATAACAACAACAATAATAACAATAATAATAATAATAAGCCTTTCATTTTTCTAGTGCCTTCCACGCAAAGATCTGAAAGCACTTTACAAAGATAAATAAACTGAGCTTGGAACACCCCGTGTGGTTAATAAATATCCTAATATATCTAAATATACTGTTTTGAGCACGCAACTCTTCTTACTGCATAAAAATCCACATTTTAGGTCATCCACATATTTGCACATAGCATTTTGGAGGCTCAAACATCGAGGGCAGGCTGTAGAGATTTTTACTTACCTAAGAGACCATGTGGATTCCCAGAAGTAGCCCACAGTATGCATGCAAAATTGCATATTCAATGCCAAACCCCATCTTTTAGGAAGTGGCAGTTGCTGCTGGACCCGCTTGGGGCCAGGGTGACAAGCCTGCAGGGGTGTCGGTGTCCAGGTGCCACACAGAGACATCAGCAGCATCCCTATGAGCTGGGTCCCTGTGGGGGCTCCTGTAAGACCACCTGGCCCTCCTCCCACCTGATGCTCATCTCAACCTGCTCCTAGCCCATTGTCTATGCTTTGAACATGAAGCTAAGTGAAAATTGAAATCACCTTAATTAAGCACACAAGAATAAAGACTCTTGCCTACCCCAAGGCTGCATTCATTGCTTTCTCCTTCTGTGCCCTCTGCCCACCCCACCAACACAAGGCTTTGTCCCTGGAGTACCATATTCCCTGCTATGACAGCAACCAGGTGGGAAAGCAGGAGAAAAAAAGGGCAGGATTTGGCTTAAAAACATCATCAGGGATAAATACAGCATATAAACAGATGTGATAGGAAACAAGGGCATTTTCTCATCTCGCAGACAGATCTCTGGGCTGGGGAGCACACCCCAGGGCATGGGCCACCCAGACTAGAGTACATGTTCTCACAAGAGCAAAGCTTTCTCCTTCCCACCCTCTGCCCATCTGGTCTGTTCAGCCCCAAAATGTTTCCAAGCAGAGCCTAGCTCTCACTGTGGGGGTGGCAGAGCGCCTAACACAATGGTGCCCTGATCTGAGCTGCAATGTCCAGAAGCTACCACAATAAACTAACAAGTAACAATAATCACCCTGATTTGTGCAGTTTGTTTTTGAAGAGGCATAGAGGGTTGACAATAAACAGTTCACCAATTTCCCCAAGTTTGTTCCCCAACTCATGTGATTAAGTCCTGGGGAGTTTCAGTGGTTGTAAAAATCCTTGTGGGGATTAATTTTTTTTGTCCTAATTATACCATGAATATTTCTATACACCAGCAAATATTCCTGATATAATTGAAACATATAACCACCCCAACAGATGATCACAGCAATTTAACAGGCCCTGGAATTAAAAAAGGAAATCAGAGGATGGAAAGAGTTGTTTCCAAAGGGCACAATAATATATAAAAGCTCTTGAGAGAGAAATACCACTACAGATAATCAGAGGGCTTGACCACAAGAGCACTGTCAAGAGGCTAAACCAAAGGAAGTGAAGTGGCCAGGGAAGAGCCCCAGATGGGCAAGAGCCAGTAACACCGGTGGACTTCTCCTCTGCCTTGGCCATTCAGAACTGCACTGCACACAAGCATCCTCAGGCAGAATATGACTTCTGGAAAAAGAGAACAGCAGGATTTTCTGTTCAAGTAAGTATCTCTGCCTTGCTCTGCCTTCTGCTAGTATTTTTTAATTTTGTCCCTATCCCACACTAAAAAAAAAAATCAAAATATAACTGGTGGAATTAGGCAAGATGAGGCTTTAACAACTTTTCAGCTATTTGGTAGCACAAACAATTCCTGGAAGGGGAGGGAACTTTGGGAAATAGAGGCAGATGAAATCACTCTGCCCCTCTGTGCCTCAGTCTCCCCATCTGTGAAAATCAGCTAATGATGTCCACCTGATTTAGTTAAATGTCCTGGAAATTGTAAAGACTCTGTAACAGCAATATACTAAGCAGCAGCACTGTTAACCGTTTCACTGCTGGTAATGCAAAGGAGGGACATCAGGTAATGCAGATATCCCTGCAAAGCACAGATGGACAAACAATATACAGACACAATTAGCTTTGAGAGAGAACTACAGCTCCTGGGGTTTTTGGCTCACCCCTTGCCAAAAGCAATGTAAGTCTAGGCACTTTTTAAGTGCTGAATTTCAATGTGAAAAATAGTCTACCTGCCTAGGCATATATTGCACTTCAAGTTTAGAGGGATCCCATTAAAGTGCATGTTTATAATCTGCAAATTTTCCCCTGTGCGTGGAGCACATTCACACTCAGCAGAGCAATTGACTGACACCAAGCAAACTTAAGCAAGCAAAGCAGGGCAAGTGACTGGGGAGGTGGTGTCATGGAAGCAACAGAGATTTTTAAAATTAGGTTTTCTCCCCTTTGAGTTTTGGATCTCTCAAGGGAAAGCAAATCCAGCTGCATGTGTAAAAAGGGGACCAAGTCTGATAACTGAATCTGTCAAATTAAATGAGTGGAGCCATCAGCTTGAGATGGTAAAACAATCCACCAAATGAGGGGAACCCTGAGGATCTAAAGCTTCAGCCCCCAGTTTACTGGACACCAGCACAACCAAGTAAATAATGCTCTCTGAATGGAAGAGAGGCTAGAAAATTAACTAGCTTTTAAATAATGAAAGAAAGCAGAAAAATAAAACAGCAACCAGTAATCCAGTTCAGACTATAAATGTAAGTTAAAACAGGGAAATAATAAACTGATGTTTCATTTGCACAAGGAAGCATGCTGCAAACCTGCTGCTAAATAATAAAATGAAAAGTTTCACCCGAAGACTTGAATCTAAGCAGGATTTGGCCACTCACAAGTGCTAATTAGATAGGATAATTGAACCCTGCACCATGAGAGGTAAAATGCAAGTATGGTACAAAAAGAAGGTCTTGCTCCTTTTAGTATGACAGAAGAACTAGGAGCAAAGACAACTACAAGAAAACACGAATTGTTCTGCATACAGTGCATTTTTTCTGAGGGATGTTTTTTCTGGATCAGATTTCCCCATAGCTCTCAATTCAGCCATTTATTTGTACAGAATAGCATCTTTCTCTGTAAGATAAAAGTGTAAGACACAAAAAGACTTTTACTATCAGATCTGCTTGAAATGGAAACTGAAGTTGATTACCCAGGAAAGTGTATCGAAATAAATGAATAAATAAACAGAGATACTGTACAAACTGAGGTGAAGCAAAAGAATTCCTTCAAACATCCACAGCCAGTGTGAGAAAGTGATACCAAGTTCATACCTATCATCCCAGTAAAATAAAGGCTAGTGGGTTTTTGTTTGTTTCTGATGAAAATGTAAACATACTCAAACAGCAGCTTATTATTGTATATCACAGTCTAACCAAATTTTTCTATAACCTCTTACGTTACAAGTAAAATCTCTAAAATGTCACCAACTAAAAAACTGAACTAGCCTGTAATTAGTTTCAACAAAGTAGTCCTTTTAACCCTAATTTTCTAGATGTAGATGGCATTTCTGAAGTAAGCATTATGAATCTTCCTTAAGGACAAGTGGAATCAAATTGTAAAATCATAAGCAGCAATCTAGTAGTTCTTCCTCTAAGCAAGCCTTTTATTTCCCTGTAATAAATTCAAATCCAGTTCTCAGTCTCTTAATAGGTGATCAGAGAAAATATGCATGCACACCTAACCCGCTACAACAAACCTTATTTTTTAAATAACACTTTAATCACTAATATAATAAAGACTGTTGTAACACGTTACCACTGGTATCATTATTCCTTATGATTCAGTATTCTAATGACTGGCTGTAACAGAGGTTTATGTTCTGCCGAGGTTTATACCACTATTTAATGTAATTAAGCAAACTGGCAGCCAATGCCTCTGTGGAAATATCATTTCTATCACAGAGTATTCCCACCAGAAATTCCGAGGAATCATAACATACAAACTTTGATTCTGTTTATTTTTTCCCCTGTTCTGAAACTGATCTGGCATTCCTTGGACTTAGTAAAGTGGAAGAAGGAATTAATCTGGCTACTGTAGACATATTATTATTGACAATACTAATAATCTGTGACAAATAGGCCATCCTTGCTTCTCTCTTTCAGCAGGCATTGCAGCCTGCAACATCGCTTTACAAAACCCCAGAGCTGGACTCTTCTGCAGGGAGCCCTGTGAGTGCACCAGCAATGGGGTTTTAAGTAAGCTATTAAAATGCTAATATTCAGCACGGGCCAGATCCCTGTTACCACTGAAAGCAGAACTAAAGCTCCTCTGGAGACAGGATAAGGCCCTTCCAATGTGATCAAAGAGTAAA